TCCTCTGTCGCCTCTCGATTCTAACCAAATCCAGTCCCTGTTGGATCTGCATCCTGTTTCTACACAGCCAGTCTGAATGTGGCATCCTTTCCAAACCAGTGTTTAGGGCCCGCCTCAGTCACAACAGTGATCCCCGAGCTCTGCCATCCCTTATGTCACACTCATGCCTCAAAACCAAATCATTTATTAAAGGTGAGAATAAAGAACTCTGCAGATTAGTAAGAAAAAGACAAGGACCCCAATATGACAAGGCAATTCCACAGGAAAAACTGCAAATGGCCAACAGCTCAGATAACTAGAAATGAAAAAAGTAATTTCAAATGTGTATACCTGCATGCATAAAACATAATCCATAAGGGTAACAATAATGGCTACATATATACACAGAAATATATGTTTATAAAAAGTATATATATGTATATATATGTGTGCATGTGTACACACACACACACACACACACACACACGGGGGGGCCCAAAAAAACCAGAATTATCTTTTGGAGAGTGGGCCCCTTGTAGTACAGGCTTCCCCTGTTAGGTGAGTGTTCTAGGAACCCACTGGCATCAGTGGACCAGCTAGCATTGTTGTGAGAGGGTGTATTTGGCTCCAATGAATCCTATTTGGAGATTCTTTCAGTGCATTTGCTCATTTCACGAAAGGTGATTTATAGTGCCCACACCGTGCTGAGTGTTCAGCAGTTTTGGACAAAAATGGCATGAACCCCATGCCCCACCCTCCCTATTCACCCGATCTCACGCTGACAACTTTTTTTTTGTTTCCCCAGATGGAAAAAGCCCTCCAAAGGAGACGTTCTGCCCATGTAGAAGAGGTGAAACAAACAGACAAACAACAACAACAACAAAACTGGCAGAAGCACTAAAAAGGCATCAAAATGAACAAGTTCAGAAACTGTTTTTAGCAGTGGAAAAAGCACCTCAATAGGTATATTGCATCAAATGGAGAGTACTTTGAAAGTGACTGAAGTTTAAACATGTAAGAATAAATACACATTTTTTTAAGTAAATAAACTCCTTTTTGCCCCCTCATATATATTTCTATGTAGGGCTGAAATTATTTTACTAAAATATGATAATAAACAACTCTGGTTATATGATTAGGGATGGTTTATGTTCTTTACTGTGATTTTCTGATTTTCCCCAATAAGCATACATTTCTTTACAATCTCTCTATCTTTGTCTTCCTCTCTCCTTCTCTTTCTCTTTTCCTCCTTGCCCCACCCCTATGCATGCACACTCTATATTTATTTGCAGGAACCTCCTAACGTTACTGTGAGATCAGCTCTGCAGTGTCCCATTGTCTACAGGCAAACTCATAATACTCATGGCTCTCAATGGCCTGGCTGCAACCTACTTGTCCACCTTATCTTCTGCCTCTCTTTTTTTTACATTATTTTCTCATTAAAACCAGACTCCTCACAGTCCCTGGCACACAGTGGACCGCTTCATTTCTATCCCCGGCTAAGTCTCATCTGCCTTCAAAGTTGGCTGGGGCCTGCCCTGTCCTGGGAAGGCTTCCCTGGCCCCTCCTGCAGGCCTTGCCCCTCCTGGTCTGCTGCCCTTAGGCTCCGGCCCCACCCCACTCCTTCTTCCTCTGGTGCACCTTAGTCTTCGGCTGACTTGGGAGCTTTTCTGGGGGGGGGCGTCGATATGCTATGCATCTTGATGTCCTTTGAGTTTATAGTACCTGCCACAAAACCAGGTGATTGAGAAATACTTGGGGAACTGAAAGGAACTTGACTTTTGACATTTTTGACAGATGGTACTATTCCTCTCGATGTAGAGATGAAGGAAACAAGCTCAGTATCACATTGGTGAGTGGGAAGCTTAGATTTAAACACAGGTCATTAGGTGGGAGTGAAGGGTGGTCTAACTTTAACCCTTAGGGACAGGCTCAAAGGCTTTCTCCACTGATACAGACTTAACAAGGAACAAAATGCACTTCAGGGAGCAATAAGGGAGAGAGAAGAGGGGTAAATGGAATAACAATAGTAAGAGTTAATAAATTGTTGACACGTATGCCAGGAACGGTTTAAGCACTTGACATATCTCAGTTTCCACTTAAAAAAATCTGTTAAAAAGGGAATATTATGAGCCCCATTTTACAAGTGAAAAAAATGAAACAAGTCATGGACAAGTTTAGTCCCTTGCTCGATCACAGAATTGGAATTTGGATCCTGCCAATTCAGCTCACAGCCAGCACTTGGAAGCTGAGCTACACTGCTTGGTGGCAGACAAGAAAAACAGATATGCACCGTGGGCTGTAGTGACAGATGCAATTGTTATTCAGGCAGAGGTACAACCCCATGAGGCAGCAGAGATCCACAATCATGAGTAGGCTGCAACTGGTATGTTTCAGGGCCAGGGATGAAACCTCACACACTGGAAGCTGCATCCTTGAGATGAAGGTCCCTGCCCAAGTTCATACCTCCTCAAAGATGGATCATCGGATCAGGAAGCAGGCACAGCTAAGGGCTGGCAAGGGGCTGGGGTATGAACCAACTTAAATGAATCAAGGGAGGGAGGGGATGAAAACTAAACTTGCCCAGGCCCCTACTCTATATGAGACGCAAAACCTACCTTATCCCACTTAATGCTCACTACCTCACTGTACACACAAGGACACTGCAGAGAGGTAAACTGTGCCACAGTCCACAGCCTGTAGCTAGTAAAGCTGGGATTCAAACTCGAGTATGCCTCAGAGGTCCAAAGAAGAGGAATTGATCAGACACTCCAAATTGTACCAGAATTCTGATTTCCCAGACTTGACTGTTCCACCCTGCCTCTCTCAGGCTCTGGGTTCTATTTGCTTGTTTGTTTGTTTGTTTGTTTGTTTTGAGTTGGAGTCTCAATCTGTCCCCAGGCTGGAGTTCAGTGGCATGCTTGCAACAAACTCAAACTCCTGGACTCAGTTGATCCTTCCACCTCAGCCTCCCATGTAGCTGAGACTGCAGGTGTGTGTCACCATATCCTGCTATTAAAAAGAATTTTTTTCTGTAGAAACAAAGTCTTGCTATGTTGCCCAGGTTGGTCTTGAACTCCTGGGCTCAAGCAATCCTTCTGTCTCAGCTTTCCAACATGCTGAGATTACAGACCTGAGCCACTGTGCCGTGCCCTGTTCTGATGAAGATAGTAGGGGGCCAACAGTAGGAAAAGCAGTGATCTAACAGATGGGAGGTGCCCACCATTGCTACTGTGAACAGCCTCCCTGCCTCAGGTTCTTTATCTATAAAATGGAAGTGTTGGATTTGAGCTACTGTCTCCAGGTCCTTTGTGGGGTTAACATTCTCTGCTCCACTGTTACTTGTACTACTCCCATGACATGAAAACAGAAAGAACAGGGCACCTCGATATCCTGGCTGCAGCAAGTTGGTGTATTCAATGGATATGCTCACCCTTTGCTGCAGCAGTGACCTTGATGGCCTTGCTTCCTCAACTATAAGCCTTTGAGGATTGAGTTAATGGGCAATGCTTTGTGCTCTCAAGGAAATAATATACACCGTCACCTAATCTGGCCAATGCTGGGCTTTGAACTTACACAAACTACCTCATTTCATCTTTCCTGCAAGCCTGCAGGGGAGATACTGGCATGCTTTGCCCATTTAATAGATGAATACATGCAAACCACATATAGCTTTGGTGATTCACCCAAGGCCATACTCATGCCAGATTATTCTTAAGTGGCTTAATTTTAGAATGCTACTCCAGAAACGGACCCCACAAGGTGAATTAGAGATACCAGGACAATGGAGTTAGATTCGATTGGCCTGGAACCCGGGGACACTGACCTGGTGAGTCTGCTCAGTGGAGGATGAGTGGACGTGGCCTCTTCGTGGCAGGTGCTTTCCCGTATAGGGTTGGGGAGGCCAAACTTTCATGCTTGGCTCTGAGACCACTGATGTTACCTTGAGTCATACAGCCAGTGAGCAGCAAGTGACAAATGTGACCCCAGGCTGTCTGGACCCTAAGCTGGGCTTGGTCTCCTCCACCTCAGGAGGAAACCTTATAGATGGAGGGGTTTTCTCCTGATAAATGGCCTCATCTCCCACAGGGCCACTGGGCACTCCCACCCACATTTTCTGGACCAACACTGCGACAGAAGTAGTCACCATGACAACCAGGGTCTTCCCACTACTCCTGTGGCCCACAGGACATAGAGCATCTCATACAGAAGGCTTTAAGTACGGGTGGAGAGGTGACATGGATAAGGGGAGTATCCATGACCTAAGGGTCAACTGAGAGCTGAGGAGGGCATGGCTAGGTGGACATAAGGCAGCCCTGATAGAAGGCAGGCAGGCAGGCTGCTGAGATTAGAGCCTGAAACAGCCCATGGAGCAGGGCAGGACAGGCCTCTGCCAGTGGCTGCTGCCCTGGTCCATCCAAGGTGCTGCCAAAGTGGGAAGGAGGGGCAGGGACAGGAGAGTTGGGGTGTTCCCACTGCCCAAGCTTCTGAACTCTTCCTTAAACCTCTGTAATCTGAACACTTCATGTTGGTGCCTAGAAGTCCTCAGTGTTAGGTACCCAAGATCCTTCCCAGTCTACTCAGCTTCTTCTGCCACCAGAACCACTAACTGCCGCTAACTAGAGGCTCCTGCTTCCTGCCTGGGCCCAGTGACTGGGACTTCTATCAGGGCTGCCTTATGTCCACCTGGCCATGCCCTCCTCATCTCTCACAGTTGACCCTTAGGTCATGGATACTCCCCTTATCCATGTCACCTCTTCACCGGTACTTAAACCCTTTGTATGAGACACTCTATGTCCAGCAACGTATGAGCACCCTAGGAGCAGGAACTCTTGTGCCATGCTGGGTCACTCTGGTTTCCCACTGGAGTTTTAAGTCCTGGCATAGAGAGCTTAGTGAATTGTTAGTGAAAGAATGAATGAACGACCCAATGAATAGAAGGAAGAGGAAAAGCAGAGGTGCAGAGGTGAACAAGTCAGGAAGAGGGAGAATGAGGAGTATGTCGGGCACCCTCTACTTACCCAGCCGAGCCCGGAAGCTGCGGACAGTGTTGCCCCCTCCTGGCCTCGCGCCCCGCCTGCTGTACTTCTCATAGAGCCGGTGCATGTGGACAGCAACCATGTCTTGGGCGCCGGGGCCCAGCGTGGATGCCGCTTCCCCCGGGGGCCGCTGGGAGTCCCTGTCCCCGCGCAGGTCGTCGGCGGCCGCGGGAGGTGCGGACCAGGCGGGAGCATTGTGGCTGCCGCCTGCGTCCCGAAGCAGCAGCAGCAGAAGCAGCGGCAGCAGTTGGGACCCCTGCCTGGGGCTGGTCCGAGGGGGGCCACGAGCCATGGCGGGGTGAGGGCGGCGATAGGCCAAAGCCCAGGAGGAGAAGGAAGAAGAGCTGGGGTGCACCAGAGGCTGCGGACCGACCCCGTAGCAGGAGAGCTCGCGGAGCGTCTGAGCGGCGGGGGGCTCTGGGGACCCAGATCCGCGCGGGGCGTGGGCCTTGGGGGAACCGGCACCCCAGGCCAGCGGTCACCGCCGTCCGGAGCCGCGCAGAGCCGAGCCGAGCCGAGCCAGAGCCGGCGCGCTGCCTCGGCGGACTCGC